GCAGAACCATCTGTTGAGAACACCTCTCGCACCGGACCGTTTAGAACGGGGGGCTGGAGCCACAGTCGTCCAGCGTAACTAGTTCCTTGTGGACGTCCTCAACGATGTTGGCGTTGCTAGAGTTTGACGCCGACCTCAAGTGACCGAACGGACGGGTCAGCCCATGTAAACACCGAACCTTTGCCTTTTTTGGTATGGTGGATGTTGCGTTTACGGGTGTTCCAGATTGGTGCTGGTGTGATGAGTGCGCTGGATTTTGTCGCGGGTGTTGCAAACAAAGAAAGGAGTGAAAATCGAGCGCTGTTTCGTACCAAAAGGATTCAGCGAGGGGGGTGTGTTGTGTATCGGGGTACAAGGACGGAATTATTTGCGTGTTCGGGGCCAGCCCGCGACTGACCTTCGTTTCACTCGGAGCTCTTCAGGTGACAACCGTCCCCCCGCGACAGCGATCGAAAATGCAAGAAGCTACGCATGCCACACAAAGAATCCTTCCAGGGACGGCAGCCAGCTGTGGTCTGTCGTGGATTGTTTCGTCGAGACAAAGTTGTCTGCGTTGTGATTGGCGCCAATATTTTTCCTGACTTCCCTCCTTTCAGATGGCTCACGGTATGCTGCATGCACGTGTAGTATCAGTCGGATCCGACAAAAACAGTGCAACTATAGAAGTTGTCTAGTCGTTGCACGATGTCATAGAAAGCCCTTCGGTACTTTGTTTTCGTGGTGGGTTGATTTCTGTTTAGCAGCAAAAGCCCGTCTCAAGCGGCCGGGGTAGCGATATTATCCCCCTCGCACACGTCACATACACACGCCCCACAGGCGTTTCGAGGACAACACAATCAGTTGCTGCCCAGATTCAGCGCATCACATACATAATGCATATCAATGGCATCTTTCTTTGGATCTGGACGAATCTACTTATTTGCGATGCCCCATGTCTTCGAAAAGGTTCAAATCAATTGTCCGTCCCTCGAGGGTAGTAATGTGATCTGACTTCACTGATCACCTTGGGGCTGTGTGGAACCATCCCGACCACGGGCGGGTGCAGGTTGTAGCTGCTTTCCTTTGATTTTGCCTTGATGATGCTCTACTCCTATCGCCTTGTATGTATTCCACAGCCGGGACCCAACACAAACCAGGCCCCAAGTACAACACTGAATAGGAGGAGGGAACTTGAATCGGAACGAGACCTGAATCTTTTCTGTGATGTCAAAACATAACTTCTGATACATAGCGCCAGATGAACATCGTAACGCACCACCATCACATGGCTACCTCCGAATACCATGCAGAACACGGGCCCGCAAGTCGAGAAATATTTCGTTAGGGAACAAAGGGTCAATTTTTCACGCTAAACTCTCTAGACTATAACAACCTATGCTCGACAGTGGCGACGAAATTTGAAACTGACGACCCGGTTTTGCCGTTTCTTTCAATAAGCCTGTTCTGTAGCACAAGTCACAGCTACCTCGACGGCTAATACGCAGTTCGCAATAGGGCCAACCGAGCTGTCCAATATGCAGCTACATGGACACAGGTTCGAGAAGAAGCACGAAACACTGAGCTCTCTGGAAAAAACGCAGCATTGACCCGAACCTATCGACACCAATAACCCGAGGATATACAAACAAAGAATGTCCACATGTACATAAAGTGTAGTCCACAACAGTAGATAGACCAGTTAGATTAGACAGATGCAACCTAGAATGTGGCCTCCCACCAACTGCAAGCGAGACGGCGATGCATCTTCAGATAAACATATGTACTTGTACTTGAACGACTCAATCACATATATCCATATCCAGTGCGAACTTATCCGTTCTGCAACGACCTTGCGCTCGTCCATTGGGACCTAGAGCGAGGAAAAACCGAAAATCTACAGCAGTATCGACAAGAGCTTTGTTCATCCCACCCCCCGAAACTATCCCATTCGATCTGGACAGGCGCTTTGACAAAGGCTTCGACAACTCTCGCAGAACACCAAAACCAAAATCTGCCTCGCCGATCTTCGAGGGAAATCGAAAGCAGAATACATATTCATTCGTCGTCCGTTCC